AAGAGCGTTGTTCTGGGCAGGTCTCGTGGGTTTGGCGCTTGCGGTGATGCTGATTTTAGGGTTTGTGTTTGGTGGTGTGATGGTTAAGTTCATGGTTGAGAAGCCATTGATGGTGAAGGAAAGTCTTCACTTTGATTATACGATGAGAAGCCCTACGGCCGTCGTGGCATTGTCGTCTCCGGAGACGGCGACGGCGACGGCGAGGAGATTGGGGTACAATCAGAAGGTGAGTGTGGAGGTTTCGTTGACGGTGCCGGAATCTGAGTATAACAGGAAGCTTGGTGTTTTCCAGGTAACTAACTGGTAATTAGCTTCTATTTATACATTTTTTGTGTTTAATATTTAATATATATATATATATATATATATATATATTATAATTACAATATGTGAAAAAAATAATATTATCTATTGTAATTTACCCCCAAATGATATGTCTATACTATTAAAATTTTATACCTATTTGTGTAATAATCACCTAGGTTGCAGTTTTTTTCTATAAAAATGTAAAAAAGCAGAGTTATTTTGTTAGTTTTGAATTTGTAATTAAGAAGGTAAAAGTAAGTATTCTAATATATATTATATATTACAGACTTGAAAGAATGTTTATATATTTGCATTTAACGGATAAAAAAAGAAATAAATAATAAATGTACTATTCAAAGGTTAACAAATGGGGTTTAGATATGATGTCAATCTATTATAAGAAATTCAAGAGAACATATATTAGAGAAGAAGTAAAGTTACACGCATTTCTATGTACAAATTTTTCTATAAACACACTCGAAAGAATGTTTAAATAATTTTCAAAGTTTCGACATTTTTTAATCCCTTTATTTGCCACGTAGTCAATTACATATAACTACTATAAAGTTTATGTTTCAATTAGGTTTATATATATATATACATAATACACACACTCTCTCTTCCGCAAAAGACTCATTTATGGGCATTTATGGTTCTACTTTTTGGAAGGTGAGGATAGAATTCATATCGGCAAACGGCAAAGTGAGTGAAAGTGCAAGCTATCCATGCATGCTCTGGTTCAAGAGCAAACCGATTCGGTTAGTGGAAACCGCCATAAGAACCGCTCCTCTGCTGGCCGGTTTACAGTCCGAGACACAAACCCTACACGTGAAAGCCGACGGGTTCAAAGAAGGCCTCGAACCAACAACGTCCGTAAAGATCAGCCTTGACGAGAGAGCCGCCAGCACGGGAGGGGGAATACCCGAGGTATACTCGGCTACGATGTTGATGGAATCGGCATCACCTCGGCTGAGGAAGATGCTGTGGCTATGGAGGTTCACTGTGTTCGTCTGGACAAGCTTTGCCGTGTTCTGCACGGAACTGGTTGCGGCTTGGATCTTCTTGAGACGGGTTGTTGCCCGAAGAAACAAGAAGATGATCGTTATTTCTGGGACAAAGGGTCCGAAGATCATCGGTTTGGGAATATGAATAACCATGAATCACCATCACCATCACCATCACCATCATCATCATAACAGAGATGTAATAATGTTATAAATGATGCCAAGAAACAATGTGTTTCGCAGTGTAACTCCCAACATTAAATCATGCGAACGAACTTAGATCGATAAATAAATGAATGAAAACAAGTGAAATCAGGCCGTTTCCTCACCTTTGTGGTTTGCTCCTCCTGTTAATGCTGCTGCTCTTGCAGTTGTGGAATATCATGCAGAGTTTTGAGAATGGTTCTCGGCTTCAAGCTTTGATCCAGTTTTCTCCGAGTTTACATGTACATGATGGGAAGGTTACTGCCTCGTCGTTGAATTTCCGAGAGTGAGCTCGAGATCATCCGATCCACTCTCCTCGTGTATCCTCTCGCCTTCCCATGCCTTAACTAATCCGTTCTCGTTGCCACCGAATGCAAACTCTGCAGGAACAGCTTCAGACATTGGAACATCGGCAGTTTGGTCAGAACCTGGTGGAATAGCAGCAGGGGAGCAAGTTCCGCTTTGCCCTGGCGTCCACATCATTGAGCCGCCGCTGCCATTGTTACCAGAAGCTTCTTTGAAGCCAAATGGGTTTGCAGAGACGAGGCTGAACGTCGGGGAAGTTGGAACACTTTGAGGGATTTGAATCCCAGAAAACCATTCTGGGTCAGGGACGAGCTGCTGTCTGGTGGGACTGGGCGGTGTCGAGTAGAAGAAGAAGGAGTTGTTCTGTTGAAAGTCGGGTTTCATTCTGGGTGTCCGAGCTGTTGGAGAGCTTAAGGGAGGAGTGACAGGAGCGCTGATGGAGCCTCCGGGGACGTAAAGGTACGGGAATCTTGATGATGACGACGATGATGATGATGTCGAGAGGTTTCTAAGCCACGGGATTAGCGACTGGCCATCGGCAGTAGTGAGGTTAGCGGCCAAGGAAGATGAAGCCGAGGCCGGACTGTGACTGTAAGAAGTGAAAGGGCTCGGCTGAAAAGAGGAGCAGGGGCTAGCATAGTTCGTACGCTCCACAGGCTTGCATCCCTGCAGATACATATGGAACAGATATCAGAACTTGCCAAAGAGAATTTCCTTCACATATAGCGTCTGAACACTACATTTCAGACCCTGGAACATTCCACAAAAACCCAAGATTCTCTTAAAGAATTCAACGAAAAAACTCTGATTGGGGATGAGAGGAAGTAAAGAACAGTGCCCCCTACATGCCATTCTCCAAAAATTTACAGATGAAAGACATTTTTACCAGTTTTCTTGAGATCTGTGCTAACTCCTGCGACTAGGACTTAGACTAGGCCAAATCAGTCAGCCGTCAGAGACCGAATCTTTCTCTTTTTGTCCCTTTTTGCAGAGAGAGAGAGAGAGAGAGAGAGAGAGAGAGATGTTTCATGGGTTCGAACTTCAAAGTCCGAGTCACGAAGAAAAGCAACGAAGCACAAACAAGCACCGGATAGATATGATGAAGCGGATCTAAAGAAAAACGCATGAACACGTTCAGACGCGAAAAAGAATTAAACTTTGACGTTTACAGCCGACGCTTATCCTACGCCGGCCCCCGTCAGGCAACAAACGCCGCGCTTAGATCCTGCTAACGTGCGCCCAGGGCGGGAATCCGGCGCAATTTAAGAAGATTCCCAAGACGGGAACAGAGTCAGAGTGGAACCAAGTTTGATTTTATTCCTATGACTAATAATAACTTATGATTCCTCAGTAGAACCAACAATTCACGATACGGAATTTCAAATCCGAATTCGCATTTCGAAAGAATTGCAGAAATGGGGAGGGGAATCAGAGACGAACCTTGCGGTAGGTGGTGCCGTCGGGCTCGACAATCCAACCGGCTTCATTGCAGAGTGCTTTGAGCACTTCGTTGTTGTCGCAGTGCTTCGGCAGTTTATAGTTTCCGTACATTCTCAGGCCGGCGAAGATCTTCGCCGCCATCGCTCTCCTTCGTCTCTCCCTTCTTTTGTTGTTCTCTCTCTCCCTCCATGTTGGCATTCTCGTCCCCGACGTCATCTCTACCCAAACTATCTCTTTTCGGTAGATCAGAAAGAGATTCCACACGCGAAACCGAAGATCTGGGAAAAAGACCGAAGACCAAAAGTTTAAATCTTCAACTGGGTAAGATCAGAGGCAAACTCTCAGGTCTTGGACGGAGAACAAAGAGCTTCTGTCGAGAAATCGCTCGTGCTCTTCTCTTTTCCGGCGAAAATTTTCTGGGAAACACAGAAATCGCGAAAACAGCAGCAGCGGCTACTTGTTGACTAAGATCCAAGGTGAATGTCAGATGAAGACGGAGGATGAAGCTGTCTCCGGACGATGAACGGAAGTGTTTTTTCCGGTGACGGAGAAAAAATTTCGCCGGGAACTCTAGCGAAGAAGATGAAAGGAGCTAAATAGCTAATCATGAATTCTCATCTTTAAAATCAGAGAATGCTAATATGATATAAAAAAAAGCTTTAAAAAATCGAATAGTCTGATTCCAACATTATTATGCCCGAGATTCCGCCTATATTTACGAACCTTGCCACTGCCTTATGACCCGAGGTCCAAGCATGTAGCGTAGCACGTGCGAGGATGTGGCTTTTACCCGAGATTTGGCTTGAATTACGAATATACCCCCGACGTCCCCCATGTGAAACATAATAAATTTACCCCAGGATTCAGCATAATTTACAGAACTGCCACAGGAGTCCGTCCCCCACCTCTGACTCACGGCTTCCTTTCACGTGACGGTGCGCCCCTGGCGTGATCGTGGGACCAGTCGGTTTCACGTGGGTCCCATCACTGCAACGTTGGCTGAGAGTATGACGTGGACAGAGCAGAGATGCCACGTGGGATCTCGTGGATTTTTTTTAGTTCAGTTGTTGGAATCTTCGATCTGTTCAAACTGGGAGTTCGAGTTCAAAGTTCTCTCTTTTCTGGGTTGTCCGAAAATCTTCAGAGACCCCCATTTGCCACGTCACCATAATCAGCGTTTACATTATAATAATAAAAAACTGACACCTATACATACATGCATAATATACACACATAAATGTCATGTACAAAGTACATAAGTTTCTCTGTATGTGGGTGAAAGGCAACTAAGAACATGCTTGAAACTTTTCTTAGTCATTGCAAGCAGATAGTGTGATGTTTGGTCTTATTTTGTCTATTCGATACCTATGACTTGTACATCTTGATGTAATGAACATTTTGATGAAACTGGAATGATTAGACCAAACATGCCACTCGAATCACTTTCAAAAATGGAGTTTGGACCACACGTTGAAATTCATTTACATGACCCGAATCGGTTCGTCCCCGTACGGAGAAACCAAAATCCATTCATGAGAGGCCAAATGAGAGCTTTCCCGAGACATCTTGTTCAGACAGAAACTGATGAAACATATACCATTTCCCTATTAAAGATCAGAGATTGGCTGTCGGCTAACGTTTCTTACTCAAATGAGTGAGTATCCTATCGACCAGCACGTCTTTCTTCCCTCCGGTGGAGAGATTGTTGGCCGTCAAATAGGTTTTCAGCTCCGCCACTGTCAAATCCTTCAGCTGGAACACAAAACAACATGGTCGCAATTAGTTGGTTATTAAGCAAGAAAGATTTCAGGCATTTCATGGTTTCTTCTGTGATCTTCGTTTACGTTTATTGTAAGACCATGCAACAGTTATCCGGGAAAATGCGAGAAAGAACGATGAAAATTGTCAAGTGTCGGTGGAATGCGTGATTTAGAATGAGGTTTTGTACCTTCCCTTTGTCTGCAAGCTCGGCCCAGCAATAGTTTCCGGCATCTACATTATCAGCCTTCCGTTTTCTTGACTTCTCCTTTGGGTCTTCTTCATCGAGAACATCGCCATAGACGGAGTACTTAAATTCTTCTATCGCTTGTGCAACTGCAGGTCTGCACTTATGACGGAGTTTCCAACTTATGGACGAATAAAAGTTTCGCAATGGGAGAAAAACCGAGTTGTAGACAGTAAAATCACGAGTGGAAAGTGAAAAACAGTAGAAAATATCGCAACCTAGTCATGCCTTCCTTGTCGGGAATTGTTTCATCTGTGGTTTCGGGTAGCTCGTTTTCATCCAATGCAATGGCCTGTAAGATTGCATAGTGTCTCTGCAACGCTGCAATAAGAGACTTCGTCATATGAGTAGATTTGAGATCATTTACAAATGATTGAGGATATAATAAAAATCAAAAGTTGTTGCTTGAACATGGAAACTCGGGAAAGATGTAAATGTTAGAAGAAACATCTCATACCGGGATTAGCAAACTGGCAGACTGAAAAATCTTTTAACTCAAGACGTTTCATTAAAGCAGATGCCTTTTTTATCTGATCATCTGTTGCTCGAGGGGCACCCGCCACGGGATTTGAAAGATGCTGTCCAAAGTTACCCACAAACTCAGTTTAAATATACGGGAAAAAGTTGGAAGAAACAACATACTTCATTCAGAAAGCTTTCTTGCCTCTTCAACATCTCTGATATCATCGGTATATGGAAGGTATATCATGTACATTCCGGGTGGCTCCACCTGACCAGCACTGCTCTGAATTTCATCCTGTTGTGTTTTAGAAGGCATTCGCGTAACATCAGAAATTATAACCTAACAACAAAAGAAAAAAAATACGCAATTGCAAACTGAAGGACAGTGGTCAAGTCCATAACTCCTATGGACATCATCTTTTTGTTTTCTTTTCATCCTTAATACTAAGCAAATTCAGTTCTACAATTTTGAACCTGAACATAAATCACCAGTGGCAAATGTAGTCATCACTGTAAGAATCTGAAGGCAGAAGTGAAATTCGAACGTTAATGTAAGGTCGGGCTATTAAGAAAACTGGCAAATCAGAATCTATTGTGGCTAACTTCGGAGTGAAATTGATGATTTTTTCTTTAATGGGTACAACGTCACTTCTAGACGTATCCAGCGAGGAAAAGCATTTCGGTATAACTCATCTGAACGAAGAGGCGAAAGGAAGATAAATAAAATAGCCAATTTAAATTACACAATGTCAGGTCATGAGCTTCTTACAGCTCCCAGAAACACGTGTAGTGACACTGAGTTTTCTTACCTGAGCAATGAGGGCAACCAATCTAGGAGGTGAAGTGCTCCCAAAAAATGCAACAGCAAAACTGCAAGGGATAATGACAAGAAGTCAGCCATAAAAGAAATTCAACATCATATGCAAGATAGTTTGATGTGATCAATCTCAAAAATATCTTGGTTAAGTACATCATAGGGTATAATGGAGTGCGAATCAACAGGTCCAAAACAAAAAAATTATATGAACTTCTATTTCATGAAGTTGTCTATAGTGTGCTTATTACCGCCCCTGCTGTATCATTGATCTGTGTAAGGCAAGGAATATGCGTGTGCTGCCAATAACTTCCTGCATCGCATTCATCAGCAAGAACAAGTAAGAGCTTCCATTATAACACCAATAACAAGAACAAGGGAGACATGCAATTCATGTACATTTCGAAACCCACTAACAGAAATATCAAAATAAGATTACGAGAATTATAGTGGTAGTGTGGTTCACAAACAAGAAACAAACAACCTTGTCACTTGGATAGAGAAATGTTGAAGGCTTCAAGTTGTAGTAAGCTTTAAGGTAACTTAGGGGCTTAAACCCCAGAAGTCGTAGGTGTCCAGTTGAAATCCTTTTTAATTTCGATAGCTCCTCCACCGAAAATCTGATATTCTCACTAAAATGAAAACAAAAAGAAAATTAAAAGAAACTCCTACCAGACAACAAAGAGTGATATGCAAAATGTAAGTCTCCACAATATGAAAATTCAGGTATCATGCTAAAATGTCTGTTCGTGTTTGACCTTAAAGTTAAACCTACACTCAAGAAGAGTGACATATAAATCATGAATACTATCACATATTCAGATACGTGAGACCTCATTTGGGGATTATTACTAATGTTATTACAAACATAAAGAAGTTAGGAGACAATAAAATAGGCATCATTTTCACAAGATACCAGAAATAAACAAGGTACTATTCAGACGATTACTCTTTGTAAGGTTGAAAGCGTTGTAGAGGTTCTTGCATCATCGCTCCAGTGTCCACACAGATAAATGATCTTTCAACCTGCGAGAAAATTTGCGCATAAAAGACCAAATTTGAACCTGGTTCCTAATGCATTATATAGCAAGAGTAAGAGAAGAATGCAAGGAGATAAAATAATATGCTCATCTAACAACAGCAAAATACGAGGAATTCATCTCCATTTCACATCATTTTGAGATTCAAGCTAAAACCTAGAATACATAGCAAAACTCTCTTTTCTTTTCTTTTCTTTTTCTTTTAATTTACAGAATCATAAGTTTCAGCCAAAATATATCATAATTTATTAGACAAGCAATGGCTAAAACCTGGACTCTACCATTGTGAAAATGAAGGAAAAATATCAAACCATGATTGTGAACATATATTGAATTCTAAATCTGAAATACTTTGCAAATTTGGAGAAGCATAAATCAGATCACATATTACAGTAAACAAAATTTTTAGGAAACAAAAATTATGTCCATTAATAATGAAAAGAAAATGTAAAGCCCAAAAAAACCAGGTACAATGCAATGGAAGGAATTTGAACTACCTTCAGAGGAAGATTAGTAGTAGAATCAAGCCAGGTTATTGCACCAGGAATAGCAGGACGGACTAAAGCATAACCATTCAATTCTATTGATAGACCATCACAAATCACAAACGTAATTCTTTTTGCTATTCGCTTGGCAAGTACTCGCTTCTTCAGCTGATCTTTCATGTCCTCCAATCTGAAAAGACAGACGATTCACAGATGTGGGGAACTAATTATGTGAATATACATGGAACCGACCAGAAAACTACAGACAATTCACAGATTTGATCTTAGAAGATCTTAGAACTTCTCAAGAGATCACTAGTCCTCCAGTATTTGTGTAATACTTCATAAGTATAAGCAAACCAATTGATAGAGACCATGCATAAAAAATTGACAAGAAGAACAATGAAGAATAAAAGAACATACTTCTGCCCAACTGATGGCATGAAGTCCACAAGTTCATTACCTTCCAATCCAATCAAATCCTGAAAATATCAACTTAAAATAAATGTAAGTAGAGCCTCTAGCCAATGTGGTCAATTAATAAGTTAGGAGGTTAACAGATGAACCTTGTAGAAGATAGTAATGTCAAACGGTTTATCTGAGCAACTCAAGGGAAGAAGCTCAATTGTGATGCCAAGATCTTGTGCATCCTTGAAAAACACAAAAAATAAGAAAACATGTTTCTGAAATTTCCTTCTCAAATAAGACAACAGAAAAGCTCCCTTTGGATAGATGTATCTCTAAACCATTTCCAGGTAAAAATACGCCCAAAACTACCTTAGCTCTCTGCGAAGTAGTTCGTGTCATATCGGCTTTTACAAAAGGTCTCATACTCCCAAAAGGATCGTCTTCATTTGTGAATAGAAAGATGCGTTTGTCAGCCGTCTTTACAGATCTAAGATGTTTGTTGTCACAAATATTAAAACCACAGTAATAAGTTAAGTTCGTAGAAGTAGATAGAACTAGAAGCATCTATTAGAAACTTGACACCTATCAGAAATTAAACAGAATTGTATTACCCTTTTCGTAGAAGGCCTTGTGCAACCCAAAGAGCATTATAGAGGGCATTCTCTCGAGGCTCTGCCACAATACCACATTGACTCCCAATATTTTTCATAAATGATTCTGCAAACGAAATATATGATATGGAGGTTGTTATCCTCTGCTCCCTTCTTATGAGTCATACATATGCATGCATATATGTACATATGCACATATTGATTTTCTAAAGATATTTTACTAATTCTCACATGCTAAATTGCTAATGTTTAGTTTCTTCTCCAGAATTATACCTGCAAAAGTATTTTCTTTGAATCTAAAATACAAAGAAGACAAAGGTATTAAACATGATAAAAATTCCAAAAAATACACGAAAATTTGAGATTATCTCAAGCAGTTACCTTCTATAAGGTCAAATTCTTTTATGAGTCTCGCAGTTGGCCGATCAATAAACTCTCGTTCAGCTACATTAAAGACATATACACCATTTAGGTCTTGAAGATTCTTCTTTTCACGCTGCAAATGACAACATATGGCAGTTTCATGAATTTGGCCAAATTTTATAGTATGAAAAGAAAAGCATTAGAAGTGCAAGCTTGATCACATGACATGATTTCACCGTTTCTTGTGTAAATTCTAGCGAGGAACTACAGTAAATAAATAAACTTAAGAGAAACAACAAAACAGCCTTATCATGTAAATCTCACCGTGTTAAAGAAGCATATAGCTACTTCATCATATGAACGATTGACAATAAGAGCCTTCAGCGACTGAGCGATGCAACTAACAGCAATGTGGAAATGGCTTTCTCCTTTGTCATCTTCCTATCAGCACCAACAAGATGAAGAGATAACCATAACTCAGAAAACCATACAGTATATGAGTACCAGCGATTCATATAGCCTTTCTATTGATCTGCAGCTGCAACACCATGCCGTTAAGCTACAATTAAGCACCCATTTCTCCGATAAATCCATGAAACCGTTTCGGATTGCTTTCAAACAGTTTGATTTCATCAGGGACCATTTCCAAAACACAAAGATTGCAATTTTATTCGATCAGAAACAGGAATTTGGTAAGGTTTGGAACCTCTCCGACCATTTCTGAACATTCAACAAGAAAAGCTACACCAAAAAGAGCAATGTACAAAACCCAAATTCTAAATTTAGATCTTCTAACTTACAGAGGGACAAGTAGAGCTGAACATTTTGGGAGAAGCATCAATCAAGTAGACTATAAACTCCTTAGAAGCTTCTTTTTCCTGCGACATGAGCACATAAGACTCTCAACAACCCAATGAACTACGATTCCGCTACTCACCGATCTTAAACACCAAAATAAAACTCACAAAGGGAAAACGTAAGGCAAACATAAACAAAACCAAAACCTGGAAGAACTCGTTCTCAAGGTCTTCGTCCTCGTCTCTGAAAACATCATCTGGGTCCAATTCCATTGTGATTATCGCTAAGGAAACAGAAACAGAGACCAGAAAACGAGTATTTCCCTCTGAATTCGAAAGACCTTGAGAGAGATTTTCAAATAGGTTTCAGTGTCAGACAAGCCATGGACTCCGAGAGAGGGGAGACCCGTTAAGAGGGAAAACGAAACGTGTTTTTCCAATTTATTTTATTTCTGTCGAATTTTGAGATTTATCTTGGGCCGTTGGATCACACCTACGTCGCGAAACGTTAGACGGCCCAGATCTTACCTTAGCCTGAGATTCTTAGGTCAATTCTGAGCTGGCCCATTATGCGAGCAATGTGATGGGCTTTTGGGCCCATTTGGAGCTATAACATCGGCCCATTTGAATTTGTATTGAAGAAGCAGTCTCCTTAATTAAATCGATATTATTAATTTAATTACGTCCAAGATTATTTTGATGGTTCAGGACCTGACTTCCATAATAATATTATGGATGCAACAATCCTAACTCTAAAAACAAATTGCTAAGCGATAACAACAAGGTAATTGATTTCGTATCCAAACCGGAAACTTCGATCTCGTTAACCGGTTTGATATCTTCATTAAGATCCCGGTTTCCATCAATGATGATCTTCAACCAAACTAATTTTCCCGCCAGAACTCCTCGGACGTACGGACAGGCCGAAGAACTAAAACCTAAGAAGAAGAACAACGTTTGGCGAAGAGTCTCAGCTTTTCCATGGCGGTCTGAATCTTCTCGGAGATAGCTGCGTAGAGGCATCTCTGAGAAGCTTCGTCTAGTTCCCGAGACGTTCTGCTGCCGCCGACAGTGACGAGAGGCCATTTAGTCTCAGGGGTGGGCAAGGACGAAATGTCGAGGAGGCGGGAGGCTGAAACGGCGGAGTCGACCATCTCGGGGAGATCAAATTCGATCGGCTGACCGATCACGATGCAAATGTTCTTGCCGCAGAGCGGCACTGGCGGTCTCTTTCCTCGGAAGTAGTTTTCCGGCATCACCTGCAGGGTGTGTCACAAGGACCTTAGGACGTTGAAGAGAAGGTGTCTCAGGTTGGAACAAAGATCCAATGTCACACAAATGCAGAATCTGCATAGACTAATATTGTCTGAAAAGTGAATTTGCGGCCCTAATTTACCATTCTTCTCCGGATTCTCTTTCCCAAATGTTGAACAATATCCAATCTCACAATTCTTCTTGGACATTCATGGACATACTACAAGAACTTAACATAATCTGTTGTATATAATACCCGGGTCTACATGCTCTACAAGAACGACGAAAAAAGAAAAGTTTCGACTATCGGGACATATTTGGAAGGGTAAGGAGAGTTACCTCTTCAAAACCGCGATGTATTATGGGCAAGACTATGGGGGTAACAGGGCAACGAGCAATGAGACTCGCAGTTCCCCATTTCAGTCTCCTTATTGGAAAATCTTCTTGGAACACTTTCCCCTCTGGGAATGTATGCAGCTATTCGTCGTCAGGTTTAAACCCGAACGTTAGAGTTACAAATTGTAACAAAGAGCAAAAATGTCGCTATATAAAAAAAAAAAATTGGAAGATAACCTACCCAAGCTCCATCTTTTAACCGCTCGAGAGCTTCATTCATGTGTTCTTGGAAGATTCCACCTCCTCTTGTTATAGGTATGCATTTTCCTGAACATTCATCACGAGATGATGATATTTGATTCAAAATGAAGATGCTCAGAATTCTTATCATTTGGACCTCAACGATAACCATGACAGTTTTTCTTCGTTAGTACATATATAGCTCAGGCCTACAGCTCCAGACACCGATTTTCCAGTCCTTCACCAAACGGAATAAGCAAAATATATATATGAAATTTCAACCCAAAGAAAACACACCAATGCGGAAAATGTAGGAGTAGACAGGATTCTTGAAACATATGTCCTCTGCAGCAAGTACCCACCGGGCAAAATCCGGATCAAAGAAAGGTGAGCCCTTGAATGCCCCCCACATAACGGGATCATCCAAACTATCAGAAAAAAACATGTAAGAAATGATTTAATGTAAACAAAGACAACGAGAAAGAGAGAGAGAGATGAAAAAAAGCGAGGATCACATTTAGGTTAACTAACGTCGACATGTGATTACTAACAGTGATGAGGGGTACCCCGGCTGGTCGGGACCGAACAAGTCCGAGAACAGCATCTGCATTGTGAACAGAAGACGTGTTGCAAAGGTTTGCAACTGTCTTGGCAAATGCTCCCACGGCCATGATCACCACTTTTCGAGGTATTCCTCTCAAGTGGTCAGCTCTTGCTGCCCACTCCATTATCCTTCCCATATTCTTCTTTCAGAGAACACACTTGAGAAATCTCGTCCTTGTCCAGAAAATACATAAGCACACGCAAAAATTAGATGCGGAAAAGCTACTGTTATTGCATATCCTAGACGAAGATTGCACAGTCTACAAATTCTATGGTTTCGATCCGAAATGATTAAACCACTATCCTCAAAATGTTCCAACACTAACGAATCGATGGATTTTAAGCAGATTTTTCCCAAAATGTTCCAAAATCTGCGGAGAGAAAATACCAAATGGACCGAGTTTCTATAACAAAATCATGTGGAGAGAAACCACGCTGAGCATTATCCCTACCAGAAAGATAAACACAGCCCAGAGAACATAGAAAATAGTGAATAAAGCGAGTTTAAACCCTGATGAACCCTAATTCCGACTTCCGATTTGAAACCAAGCAGAAGCTCAAACAAAAGCGGAAGCGAAATTAAAGAAGAAAGAACCGAGACACACCAAAAGGACCAAAACACAAATGCGTGATCGGAAAATAGCTGTACCTCAGACACAATCAGGATTTAGGACCAAATCCTGATCACCGTCACTCACCAAAGTCCAGAGAACGAGAGAATGGGAGCAGGAGAGAGACGAGCGTTTCGAGCAGAGAGAGAGAACCTGAGGGATGATTTTGCAAATATACGGGCTTTATTTGGGCCCATTGGGCCTAATTGGGCCTAATTGGGCTGATTTCAATTTTATTAACATTTCATGTCCGATTATCCCGTTATTTAGACTCTACAAAAAATTATACACAAATACTATTCAATATCCCATTCACATTTAAATACATTGTGTAATTTTTTATTCGACAATAATAAACGTTTTATAATTGTTTCATAGACAATCGCCGTTCCGACAGCAGG